AGCCCCAGCTCGCACTCGACATGACATGATCTTTGACAATCATGAGTCAGGAGGGTCAGCCCAGAAAGAGACTAGCCGGCCTTGGGTCTCCGGCTCTTAGAAAGAAGCTAAATCCATCTGCCTTCTACCACGAGTGCGCCCTCACTACACTACACTAATAAGAAAGGAAATACATATCAACACAGATAGAACGGGCGCGGAGAATGGAAGATTCACCCATAAACAAAATAGGAACCCGTAGCTGCCAGACCCTTTTTCGACCTCTTTGCCTACCGCTTGCCTTACTCATAATCGGGAATCTGAATAGGCAACTATGAGACTAATTTCCCATTGTCCCGAGCAAGTTACAACGTACCCGAAGTGTGTTGGTCTTTCGTGAACACTCCTGGGTGAAACCCTAGCTCTGGTTCAGACATGTGATTGATATTATATATAATCGTTTTTTTTAGCGGTCATTCTGAGAAGTTAGTTTGAGAACGGTCGAGACCCTCGCGGGCATCCTTCACCACTGGACTTGTTCAAACCTTGGTCTATGGCAGCGGCGGTAGGAGTCGCAGAACTTGCAAAACCCGATACTCCTCGTCGAATAGAGGTCTCGTATGTTGGTACATAAGGGTTAGGCGAAGCAGTCGGTACACGGTACATTCAATCAAGTCCGTTGCTGTTGCCAACTCCTTCTGCTTTCCCCCCTTAAAAGGCTCAAATACCAGATATCAAGATCCAAGGCATACCAGACTCCCGAAGGGAAGGAAAAAGAATGCCCTCTTTGATAGAATGAGCTATTAGGGGAATATCAGATCTTTTAGTCCACTCTTTGAGACATCTATTAGACCGTGGGGCATGAACACGAAGAGGAGACTTTTCTTTCCTATCATTAGCATTGTGAAAGGAAAATATGGTACTTCTATAGCTTTCACGTGGCGAGAGGGAGAAAGAAATAGCAAGAACCACTCTTTATCTTTGAACGAATCCGAAGTCCGGGAAGGCAACTGGTAATACGCAAATAGAGTACATCAAGCCTGAAAGACCCTATACTTGTACAGGGCTAGAGACTAGAGGTTCCCCAGGTAATCAATCTATGTTAAACCTCCGGAGAAGAACTAAGACTGGCATTGGCTGAAATGGAGCTTGCCCCAGGTACGAAATGCCAGCAAGGTAAGGACATAGGTCTGTACCCGACTCCTCTGAGACTTAGACGGATAGACTCGTTAGATACGCTATTTTATTAATGGTATAAAAGGTGGGCCCGAACGGTATAGCCCCACAGGGAAGACCCTGAGGAGATGATTGAAGAAAGATCAGAAGAGGACCCATAGGGATGAAGAGATGAAAGTCACAGTAAACCCGGAAGGCTTTATCTCGAATAGATTAAAGGCTCTTCTTGCTCAACGAGCCCATAAGGTACCGATTCCGGAAGTTGCTGGAGAGCCAGAGGTTACCTGCCAGGTGACCATACAGTCAAAGCCCGGGGAGCCAAAAAAGGTCGTGTTAGACAAAGCCTCTCCCCAGATGACCCAAGACATCAAGCCTCTGTACGTCAAAGCTCACTTGAACGGGAAGCCCGTATCACGGATATTGGTAGATAACGGATCCGCAGTCAATGTGTTGCCGCTTAAAATGATATGGAGTTTTTGAAAATCTTTAGGAGGACCTGATGTCAACGGAGGTTTCAGTTGTGGCCTTTACTGGGGGAACCCTTCCTTTCTTTCTTATATTGTATTCGCTTCAATCGCTCCTGAATCGGCGGATCAAAGATCGGAATACCTGACTTTCACTGCTAGAGGTGGATTGGATGAGAGGCCGCTATTTGCTTGCTTCTCCTGTTCGCTCTAGTTCACCTGGTTTACAACGGTCTGTTTGCTAGGTTTTAGACAAGGGCTAAGGGCGAGTCATCCCTCTTAGCAGCTCTTTCCTAATCAATCAGCTTTTGTGCTCTCCAAAAACAGCGGAAAGACTTTGAATAATTCCACCAACAACTTTTCTCATGAAAGGGAAGACTTTTTAATAAGACTTTCTTTCTCTTGCACCACGCCGAAACGTATGGACACTGCCTAAAGTGAAGTAAGAAGGAATCGGGGTGGCTAGCTTTCCTGCTTCTGTGCTTGTTATTAAGAAGATAGAAAAGATATAGCTATCTCCCGTAGGCTACTCTTTAGAGCGTTTCACTCGTTTAAGGAAGACTCATACAGCCTAAGACAACTGGGTTTACGAACAGGGGTTATTCCCATATATATGGATGGATGTTACTTTTGTGCTTAATTTAGTTTTGCGTATCAGTTAAGTTTCAGGTCTGTGCCTGAGGCCTGGACCAGAAAGCTTTAATGGCGGGGGCAGAAACGGAAGCAGGTACGAATAGAAGAAGGCCCATAATAGCCAAGCCAAAAGGGTCCTATTAAGTGGTCCAATCATTGTGGGTATAATGGTAGATGCTCGGGACCAAGCCCTCAATTTTATACTTTGGAAAACTTCTAATAGTAAACTTAAACTATCAATTATATTAGGTAGAGGAGCAATTTCATCGAAATCACAGGCATAACTCATTCCTTCATGGAAAACAAGTTTATTTCATATACCTCTGCTTGAAGAGAAGTAGAGCGGCTCAAGAACATCTTGGTAGAAGTACCGATATGGAGCAATTGTTGCCGGTCTAGACAATTTTTACGGCTGCCATGCTGAGATAGTACAGCTAGGCAACTAATAGGTAATCCATACCAGTGTGTCTGATGTATGTGAGAAGGATCTTGACAAAATTTCCAGTAAGTATGTGGAGTCCAGATGAGATCTGGCTGATCCCGTGTCAAAAGGCCTTGGCAAGGAAAAAACCAGAGCATAGTTAGTTGTCTTGTACTTTACGGTAACCCAACCTGTTCTCCTAGGAAAAATGAGAAATATAAGCACATGAATGAATTTTAATTCTTCCATACCGATGGTCTATGTGCTTATTCCTGCATTTAAGTTCTATTAATGAATCCCGGAGGAGGAGAAAGAAACCTGATAGATTCACCGATCTGAGTGTGGTATTTCAATTCCTATAGGATTTGGACTTTAATCCTTAGAGCACTCAGGGGATCCTAGGCACATGGCCGTAAGGTGCCGAGCTTATCTGTAAATACTTTAGTGGGTGTGTGTGTCATTTCTGCTTTGTCAACATGCTTCTTAGAAAAAGACCTTGTTCACCTAGTCTTAGGAAGCTCCATTCTTTAGAGGTAAATATGATGATGTTGAAATAGCAGATTATATAAGCATTACTTCAGCCTGGCAAAACTGGCTTACTTGTGTAATAGCTTTTCCTGCCCTACGACTAGTAGGTAACTCACTACCTTTATGGAGTAAGAATCATTCCTGCTTCCAGACTTAACCTTCGCCTGCACAGAAATTATAGGAACTTAACTGAGACTTGGTTAAGGGAAGAAGGTTTATCATCCTGTTGTTGCCATATCTGTTGCCGCTGTTCTCTTTGCAATTTAATTTTATGTGGGAATAACTGAAATAACCGTTGTTCAAATAGCCGTAAGCGGTGGTGGTGAAGTCAGTTAATCAGACTCGGTTGTGCTAGAATCTGCTGTGGGACTTGAGCTTGTGGCATATCGATAATATGAGTATGCATCGAGAAATATAACTTTCGATTTCATGTCCAGATGAAATGCAATTTCCAACTAATGGCACTACTTCCTCAATAGGAAATTAACTTCTAAGCTGGCTAAGGTAAGATAATCCTGTTCTTGCAATAACAGGTCTTTCTGGTGAGTGAATAAGAGCTCTTCGTAACCGCAGCTAAAGGCTTAGCCTAGCCCTAAAGCAAGCAAATGACATATAGAAATAGTAGGCATCGCATGCCCTTTCCTTTTTTCTTTTCTTACCTCATTTTCTTCCTTTAAAGCAACTGACATCCATGTAGAAGAAGGTTCACAGGTGGACAAAGAGGGTTGTCCCTTGGTTTGCGGCGAATATATTGTCGATCTTTAGCCAATAGCAGTAGGAGTAGCTGGCACTGGCTTTCGGGATATCAATAATACATATGCAATGTGCCGCATCTACTTGACCCGCCGGCGCGAAGGCCTTCCCCCTCTCCTCAGATGTCCACAAAAGGAATTGACAGTGAATCCTATGACTTTCCTTCTAAGACATGGTAATTGCTTTCAAGGGCTAGATGCTGCAAGTGAATCAAAAGTAGAGAAAGGGTCAGCTCCTTCACTTCATTCTCTCGCTCTCTCTATCTCTTTCTATTTTTCGTATAGAAAGATGACACACTTGAACTTGACTGATTTTCTTAGTAAGAAATAATAATCAGAAATCATCCATCTCATAAGCTTTTCAAAGCACATTTTAAACAAACGAATGCTATATGCTTAACACAAAGAAATCGATTTTAGATTCCGTAAGTAAGTCGGTGAATGCTTTCATTTTTCTTGCGCATTCACGGATCTCTGCCTACCTATTCTTCCCCCACAAAATCCGTACTTGGCTATGTATGGGAAGATGCCTAACTTACCAGAGAAGTCAAGGATGGTCAAGGTGCCTATTCCACCCAAGGATCCGTGGTGTGGTCCGCAAGAAAAAATAAGATAAAAAAGAAGCATCAGCAGGGCCATAGTCTCCAAAAGTAGAGTGACAAGGGCTCAGCCTTTGATTACACGTATAGTTTAGTTCATAGTCCCCTTACCAATGAGACTTCTTCCTCTTTTATGGAGAAAAAGCGAAAGCGAAGGCAGCGATCATAACAACCGGTCCGAAGGAGAAAGACTGTCTTTTCCCGATCATCGAATGCGAAGAGAGGTAGTACAAGTAAGCGAGAGGTTTAGAGAAATACTCGACCATAAGGAGAGGGAGAGAAGCTAACCCCCGTTCCCAAGTCTTCTTCCACCTCACTCCTGGCTTTGGAAGGTCGTTTCTATATTCGTATATAGAGATAGACGTAAGGTTGGGGTTGGACCGGGCGGACCCCGGCTTCCGACGTACAACAAGATCAAGCCCAAACGTCGTTCAGTTTTTTCCTCCTCTTCCTGTTCTATTGATCAGAAGCACCCAGCAGCGCCACGCCGCTACTCCTCAAATAGGTGGCGGTTGCTTTGAATGAACTCTACAGTTGACTGTAAGAGTTCTTCTTTTTGGACGCGCGCTGCTTCATCTCTATGGGCGTCGCGTGATTTTATGATATTAAACCTCTTGCCGTCGAAGCCCGGCCTCCGCTTGTTTAAGGAGGTTGGGGTTCTCTTGCAGACGGCGTCGGTTATCCTGTCGCAATCGGTCTAAGTGTTCCTCCGAAAACAAATTAGAGTTAGGATCATCCCGCGTGTGACTTTCTACCTCCGCAGCGGTGACGCTCCCAGGGGACGAGATGGATTGTGGTGGAGATCCGTCCGAATCTGTTTCCGAGGAGGCATGGGGAGTCCGACTGAGATGCCGGAGACTCAGAGCCTGATGTCCCCTCGCCGAGAGGCATCATATGGTTTTGGTATGTGAGCAGCGCTCGTAAAGTAAAGTCTACAGTCAAGGCAAGCCCTGCTGAGCAGCCCAACCCTCTTAGAGCAAAGGATAGGGCTCGACCGCCCAGAGAGAACCCAACCTTTGAAAGTAAGGCATGAAAGAAATCCAATTCCTTGAATTTCTGACAAATAAGATAGAAAATACCTAAAAAGGTAGAACTAAAGAGAAACTAAGATTGAAGAAAAGGAGTCAAACTCAAGCTCGAACTTATAAAGATAGGCGGATTAAAAGTAGTTAAAGCCCCGCCTTGCTTTCGCGTATTTAGGGCCTAAATTTGTAAAGCGTTTTAATGTTGGAATTTGTGTTTCATATGAGGCAAAATAAACATGGGGGGCCGTTTTCTTAGGCAGTTGCTGATTGAGGAAAAACCGTCAGCTCTGTCTTTGCTATTTCGACGGTTTCCTACAACGAAAAGAGACTGGATCTTCAATATAAGTCTTTCTTGTGAAAGAATAGGGAAACATTTGTTTGTGGCTCCCTCACACCACTGCTGGTGACCTTGCAAAATCTAAGGTCCTTTAGGCTGCTGGGTTAGTAAGAACAAGATAGTGGGCTTTCCCGTGTAATTTCGACACCTTGGACTTCGGCATCTTTACTTAGGGATACCCTTGGTAAATCATCTTTCTTTTCCCTGCGAGAACAACTCTTCTTCAGCTACCGAAGCTTGCAGGTGTGTAGCTGCACCGAGCTTTCTATTTTGAATTCGGGTTCCCACGGTATTGATGAGAGCCTTTTTTCCTCGGATCATGTTGTCTTACGTCCTTCCTGATGAGACCTTTTTCAAAGTCCCTTGTTTTAATTCGACGAAGAGCTTCTTTATCTTACGCAATTTCGAGATCAGGATATTGAAGAATACCTTCGACGTGTAGCTAAGTAGCTTCAGATTCCTTTTCCTTGGTTGCCGATCAAGGTAGAGTCTTCACAGGTGATCAAGTAAAAGAGTTTGCTAATATATCTAGTTTTTGTTGAAATGATTCACTCAACACCTTTGCTCAGGCTAATGGACAAGCCGAGTCTTCCAAAAAATAAGGTGAACTAGCTTATAAAAAATGATAAAGGATAACCCAAGCAAGGATCTGGCATGAAGTGTAGTCAGAGGCTCTCTAGGCATGTCAGACAAAAATAACGAGTTTCCTTTAGGAGGTGGGACAAGAAGCTTAACCATACTTGGCTTTGGAAAGACTTCTGCTCGACACGTTCAAGCTTTTCCGGGAGGATCTTTTTTAAATATTTTATTCCCAGGTTAAAGACTGGGGCGGGTTTAACTAAATATCCTGACCCCTGACCCATAGTCTTCATGGATCTGATCTTTCCTGCTATTCCTAAGGAAAGGATAGTATTCAAGGCGATCAGAGTCAGGATTGGCATAAGGGAATAAAAAGTGGCAAGAATCATTCCATTCTTCCTCGGCAAGAGCACCCGAATCCGAATTTTGTTTTTGGCCTTGTCAGTATCCCTTTGTGAGTCTTCTGCTGAAGACTTTCTCCTTAGTAGTCTCCCAATGACCCTTGACCGGTGTGGCTAAGCCAATACATAATCACCATAAATTAGTGACGAGGGCTCTCTGCGGCTAAGAATAGAAGGTGGTGTACTAGTTCTCAGTAAGTATTGGAAGAATCCCATGAAATGTTCATCCAAAGAGGGATTTTAGTTTGTGAAAAAAGACCTTCTTTTTCTTGTTACCTCCTGCCCGCAACCATGCACTTAATAAATAAATATCATAGGAGTAGTAGCGCTAAGCGAAGCATCAAAGCAGAAGGAGCTTGACACCATTGAATCAAGTGTTGAAAGACTACGTATGAAAATAGAATCCCCAGATGATAGGGGCCCGGGAACTGAACGATGTTAGCGCAAGAGGCTTAAATTAAAAGGCAGGTAGCATTCGATAAGCAGGCAGGTTTGGGAAACTAGCACCAGGTACTAGGTCGATGGCATGCAGAATACTCCTCATCGGTGGTAAACCATGGGAAGAGCATCACCAACCAGCTCCTTCAAAGATTTTAATAGTATCTGAATGAAGAAGAATGTCGAGAGAATAGTTAAATGCCGGCGAATAGCGTAGGAAGTAACCAAGTTTGAATGGTGGAAAGCCAGCAAGGGAAAAAGCATTAGTTTCAGCGAAGCTATTCTTTACCCCTTAAGCGTCAGAGAAAAGTACTTTCAGGCAAGGTCGGCTAGCGAACCCCGCTACTCCTTTGTCTTTTAGGAAGGGAAGTCTGAGTCAAAGTCATTGTGAATCCTCAGTTTGAAGGCGATTCACCTTCACCCAGCATCTTTTAAAGTTTTAGTCTGATTATTTCTCATCTGCCTGCGGCTCTGGCCGGCCCATCTTCCTCCATGTCCTCATCCGAGGTTCAAGCAATTGGTCATCATTCCTGACCTGGCCGGCTGGCCGAGGTCGAGTTCCTCCCTTATTTATAATCTATACGGCTTTCTTCGTCTCTATTATTTGATTTATCAATAGCCAAAAACTTGACTTTCAGGTCTGCGAGAGGTCAATGTACTAGAGCTCATGCCCAAATAGGGGCTTTCTTTTCTCTTTCATGCGACTTCCCTTCCTCCCTCATTCATGAAAATCAAAGGAAGCTTCATCGGGAAGGGATAGGGATGGCGCATTGGCTTGGTTGGCGGCTTGGCTTGGCTATCGCTCATGACTTGGTATAGAGTCCGTGTAGTCGGTGAGTACTAGTACAGCCTATGAAACTGGCTTTGAGTTCCATTACATTGCCAAAATGAATTCCCGCCACTCTCCCTTCCAGTGAACCCCACGTGTCTGCCTCCGGCTTCGAAGCAGTGGGGAAGAAAAGGACTCGGCTTAACTTCACTTGGGTTCGGTTTACCTTGTTACTATTGGAATGATGGAAATAGCTCTTCTTCCTCTTTGCGTTAGCGACTCTGAGCTCATAGGGAGCTGGGAATTAGCTTGGTTAGCTGGAGAAGGGATAGAGTTGAAAGATCGGATTTTTTTAGCGTGCCTTATGCCTGTCCTTTCCTGACTCTGTCGATGGTATGCCTGAGATGGCAGTCTTTCTCCTTGGCTTGTACTCGAGATTCCCTTTTTGTTCGAAATCGATATCTTCGCCTTTGAGAAAGGGAACGAAGGAATTCCGTTTGTTGTCATAAGAATTGTTCAAGTTGAATGCGAATAATCGATTGAATCCGATCTTTGAAGACTTGAAGGACTAGTGTCCAATCCCGGCCGATGTAGAGTAGTCCCTTTTGGGCAGCACTTCCTCGTAGGGAACTACCTATTGTCCTTCTTTCTTGTGGTGGAACCTGGGATTAACCCTCCCAGAAGTTATTATCGCCAAAACAAAAAAAGACATCTTGAATTTCCCATAAGAGTAAAACTATAATAGTATCCGACTCATATGGCGGCGGGGGCTGCGTTCCCCTCTCTTTCTGCTGGATGGGGAGTGCATATGTCGGCTATGTCCCTGGACCTCCTGGCTTCCCTGACACGTCCGAACATAATCAGAGAAGACCTGCCCAAGCACCTCACCACCTTGTGATCATAAATAAGAATATCCAATACAATCACAGGAAAGAGTACCCGAAAAAAACCGTAACGTATCAGGGTCGTACGCCTTGAACAGTCGTACAATTTCAGCGATTCAAAAAGGAGTATATCCCTCTCCCTTAGTGTCTTTCCACTTCCCTCGTTCAGGAACAAAACCTTCGCCTAATTCTTTTGAGTCCCGACCTGGTTTTTCCCCACTAACCAATTACGTTACGACCACTGAAGAAACTTGGTTGACGAACATGGTTTATGCGCCGCTAATGTAGCGGCTTGTCGAGCATTTGACAAACTCACACCATCCATCTCAAATAGGACTTGTCCCGCGGACACACGAGCAATCCAACCCGTAGGATTTCCTTTTCCTCTTCCCATTCTTACTTCTGTAGGTTTCCCGGTAATAGGGATATCTGCGAAAACTCTTACCCATATCTTACCATTTTTTCGGAATTGTCCGCTCATAGCACGATGGAAGTGCCCAATTATAGCCCGACGCGCTGCTTCAATGGCTCGATATGAAAGACGACCAGCTCTACAACTTTGAGTGCCATATCTTCCAAAACCTAGTTTTGTTCCGTCTGGTTTGCCACCCCTACTACATCTGCCTTTACGATATTTACTAAATTTCGTACGTTTCAGATATAGCACGTCCCTTTTTTCTTTTACTATATGAAATCCACACTTTGACACCTGAGATTCCGTAACGAGTAGATACTTCCGCAGAAGCATAATCTATTTTCTGGTTAAATACATTACAAGATGTTTTTCCATACTTTCCGCATTCAGTTCTAGCTATTTCTGCGCCTTCTGATCGACCTGAACAACATATACGGATCCCCTCAACCCCTTTTTTCATTACTAATGGAATATCCTTAACTATTCTACTAAAAATGGAATGGAATGATCTTGTTTTCTTTCTCAGTTGAAAAGAGATGTCTTGAGCAATCGGAGAAGCACTTTGATAAACAGATTTGATCTTGACCGACTCAATTAAGGTATTAGTGTTTGTTCTATTAGACAACAAAGATCGCATTTTTTTCACTTTGTTCAAATAAGAGTTGTACCCGTACGGAATTTTTCTGTTTCTCAGTATGATCTCTATCATCATCTCTATTCCCTTTATCCACTCTCCTATCCTACCTAGGTCTATGAATTTATCTATCAATTCCATTACCTTATCCTTACCCATGAGGTTCCAACATTTGATCCTTAATTGACCTAGGAGTGGTTCCCGGGCATCCTAAAAAAAAGGTTATTATAAATCCCAACTCCATCCCTTGGAAAGAAAAAGGTAGCACCGAAGAAAGGAAAGAGCGAGATGGTGGTTTTTGTTGTTCCCGCGAAGCGAAGATCATTCGCCAAGCGAATTAAGTGGGTCAACCTCTTTTTGGCTTCGGCCAAACACTTTTTCTCGCTGGTCGAGCTTTCTACAAAAAAAGCGATGCGAGAACGTATTCTCTTATCTAAGCTTCTTCCCTGCGCATTCGGTCCCCCCATCGTAGATGGTTCAGCCACGCCCGATGCCACGAAATGATTGAGAACTACGACGGGGTCGAAATGCATTTGGTTCTTTCTACAAAAAAAGTATTGCATGACCGAATAATTCAAGGAGGGGCGCACTGCAGGGAGGGTCCTTTGAAATAGATGACTCGTCGGGCCGTCGGAGCGGGACTTCTTGGGGAAAAAGAACTTAAAAAACTTCGTTTTTCTGAAGGAGTCGTAATTTTCTATCAGGAACGCTATTTCATTTACAGCCCCGGCGTATTTCGGATGCTTGAAGGCCCCGCTGACCCGAAGTGATTTAGAAAGATTCTTCTTTATCGATGGTGATCGGTCATGGTATCCATAGCGTTGCTTCTTTTTCGGCCAAATCCTAATTTCGTTTTGCTTCTCCCAGTCGTCGAGCCTGATCGACTCGACTCTTTTCCCTGCCCTCCGGCCTCTCACTTCGTTTCGTTCTTCTTCTTTCTTGTTGCTGGAATGAAGACACCCGATCGGCCCGACTTTCCCAAATGCCCACCACCGGCCCTTCTCCTTTCCGGGTCTGGATTTATCGCGTCGTTTCAGTCGTCGTGGTCGACGGGGAAGAAAGAAATGAATGAATGTTCTTTTGGGAAAATGTATAAGAATACACCTACCGAGACGAAAGCCAAAGGTTAGTCTCGCAGGTGGACGTATCGAACCGAAATAAGATCTCAGATTGACATCTTGATAAACTAATTTACCATAATAATAAATAGAGTCAATGGTGACTCCGCCGTGGGAATAACCGCTTCTTTCTTGCTTGATAGAGGGGCTTCCATTCACCAACGCTGACAAAAAGTGCTCTCCGAACCGTGCTGGATAGTCACCCATCACACGGCTCTCAAACCCAACCTATGGTGAATCCCGGGAGACAAAGTCAAAGCGCTTGATCCTTTGCCCCATACTTTGAGATGCTTCTCCCCGCCGATCAAGCAGCGACGCTGCTCGTGATAGGCTTAGCTTTAAGCCGCTATCGTTCGGTTCGAATAAGTAAAGTCCCCTCGGTCGGTTCGCTCAGGTGGTCTTCCCTTATCTTCTCTTCTCTAACGTTCAGAGTTGTTCTGGTTTAAAAAAGGAGCACCGGCCGAGCGCCCTAAATGAATAATAAATGGACAGCAAAGGGAATTAATGATTCTTATTCAACCGAGTTGAAGTTAGCAACATGTCGATTACACACCGGAGGTTGGTAAGAAATGAGGGACAATGCCCCCTAACCTAAGTGGGCCTACCAGCGAAACAACTGGTACTGGATCGGGGGTGGGGGGTTGGTTTCGTGCAAGGCCTTCGCAGCAGGAAGAGGCAGTTGTCATTTGAAGGGAAAGGCCCTTTGTATAGGGTTCCCTGCGCACCCTGATTCAACATTTCTATGTTCTTAGTCAAGCCTAAACTTATTGAAAACTAAAGCGCTAACGCTATAATAATTATAAAAATAGCAACCTTTCTCCTTATAAACTAAAACAAAACAAGTATACTTAATTACTATAAAAAAAGAAGAAAGCGACAACAAGCACCTTCTTTCTCAAAGTAAACTTTCTCGCGTCTTGCTTTAGAAAGATTGCAGCGTTAGCGCTTCTTGACTAAGAACATCATAGAAAGTCAAGGCTCCTCTCCTTTTTTAGGAATCTACAACTCTCTTTACTGAGCGAGACTCCATCCATATCCCTACTAGTGGTTATATTAAATATTTTTTATTTTATCATTTGTTTGACAGCCTAAACTAGGCTCCATTTTAGATAGGTTTTCGGTCTTAATAAAAAAAATAGGTCAGGGGCGCGTCAGTACGGTCGGTGGCTGCTTAGTCTCATCCGAGAGTCTAATCTCTTTGTACTTTTTTATTCTTTCTTTTAAAAATAAATAATAAAAATAAGGGGGTCGATTTAGGCTCCTTCCCTTCCACTGCATAGCTGCGCTAGCAGGTACTATGAGCCCTCTGTCCCACGTATCTAACCAGCTCGCGTGGTTCACCGGTTCCACCGAAAACTCTCATTTGTTGAAGCGGAGCATAGTGCGCTTTAGGCGCCGAGCGAGAAAGGTATCTTTCTTCTTTCGTTTCGGTTTATTCACTGATCTGAAACTTAGCACTAGTTTTCTTATTGATTCCAGGGGCGGCGGCGTTCTTGAATGAAGTCTATCCGAACCGAATTAGCACTTCTCAGATCAGGCTAGGCCTCTCCAGCTCCGCAGGGCGTCGGGGCCCTGGATGCGCTAGCGATCGGCACGTAGGGGGTGCCGGGTTTCTCGGCCTGGTATCCTACACCTCGCGTTCATGATATCTATATTCAAATGTGCCCCGGAGACACGGTCGAAGCACGCCCGCCCGGTGTGCTTCTTTCACGACATGCTCTGGTCCCGGGTCTCTTCCAGTGGTCTTCTAGCATTAGAAGAAGTCGAAAGGCAATCGAGCTGCGTCCCGGCGAAATCTGACCCGATTCTTGCCACTCTCGCACAACACAAAGCCATCTTACGTTAAACCTAACCGGTGGCGTACTTTGAGGGGAGAGTACTCCCGTGCGCCCATACTGGTGTGGACCGTTCTTGCCTATTGGAATCTCTGGCTGCCGGTCTGCTTTACATGGATCCCTCGTTTGAGTGCTTGTTCTTGAGCTTCATCTCCCTCCATTTTACTATAGTCTGGGGAGTTTATTGGAAAACCTTTTCTAAATTTTAGTCTTCTTTTTTTATTTCATATACCCGCTCAATGGAAATTATGGGATTCCATATATAATTTAAATATTTCCCTACAAAGCAGCTCTCTTGAACATGAATCACCTCTTCCCATTGATTTTATCCTTGTCAAAATGAATGAAGTTAAAGCCATACCCGTTTCAAATTAAATTTTTTTTTATAAATTCAAATGTTATAAGTCAGGAACGCTATGTGAATAGGGTCTTAAAGCCCTCACCCAGCAAGAAAACGTATGCGCGAGACTAAGGCAGGCTATAGGCTTTATAGCGTTAGGGCTTTAGTTTGATTGCAGATAGAGGAAGGAACGATCTCTAAAATGGGATTCGGAGTCGGGTGACTAGTGGTGCGGTGGACAATGACGAGCGTGACTGGCGTTTGTCCCATACAGAATGACTTATAGTGGAAGTGAGGCGAGGAGGAAATAGATTCATCTTGTCATGGAAGATAGACATGAAGGATAAGGCTTTGTAAGAGTGACCGGAGGAGCTAATAGTTTTAGTTTAACCGCCCATGTCGATCTGCCAACTTTCAAGGACTTACTTTCCGCTGACACTTAGTTGTTTCCTGCGGCTCATCTCACGACTGGGTCAAAGCGGGGTCCAACCAATCTACGCATAGAATAAAGCAATCGGCAACCGAAACAAGATAAACCGCTCGAAAAAAAGTAAAGCACTCTGATAGCACATGCCCTGTTTAAGCTTCGATCAAAGCAATCAGGTATGGTGGCTTAGGAGTTTGAGTCGTATTATCAATCTTAGCCAGCACGAAAAGGGCAGAACCTAATCAACAAAAAAGAATAAACGAATAGAAAGAGGGGGTTTACCTATGAATGTAGTTCTTCTTTAGTCATTCCCTAACCTTTTCTCATATTAGCGTAAGCTACCGTTTAATATGAATAAATACTTTTATTTCCGAACCTAAGGCTAATAGCTCCCGTGCTGCTTTTGACTCCTACTCAATGAATCTGAAGCTGTGGTATGGGTGTTCCGTGGATGCGCCTGCGAGTGAAGCAATGAGAATTGTTGATTCATTTTACACATGGAGAAGGGAATCGAAGATGGATGGAATTTCTTCAATTCAAAATATCCATTGCGTTCTTTTCTATTAATATTAAAGCTTGGTCACCAGAATGTTAATTGAAGAAATGTCTTCCCCGTGGCCAGAGTAATGTGTTTGCTATTCCAAAGGGTGCTTCTCTGATCTTCAAGCTTTCCTGTGGTGCGCAAATGAAACTATTTTCTTGCCTTCACCCAGCCGATTAGTAAAGATTCCGGCTTCTCAATCGATTGCGTTTCGTATTATAAGATCAGGGGAAAAAGGCATCCATTCAAACAACTCCCATTCCTATGTTGACACCAAGAGAAAGCCTAAGAGAAGAACATGCTACCAGTCCTAGCTGGCACCGATGCCAAGGGAAAGCATTTCAAGAAGAGACAACCAGTACGCCTACTAAGCAATTCCTCGTAAATAAAGATGCTGAAAGTAAGACAATAGATAGAGAGTCTCAGATCATAAGTAGTTCTTTGAAATAGAAAATAGGGACCTTTTTCACCGACATAGTCAGAAGCTATGGATGTTGAAAACGCACAAGCGAAGCGCCTTAGTCAGCGGAAGGGAAGAAGTCACCCTCAATTCGATCTAGCAAGAAATGCTTTACCGATAAAGTCAAGCGAGAGACAGTAGATTCCTTCTTAGGGTTCCAATAAATTCGACTAGTGCAAAGAAAGATGAAGTATCCAGTTGTAGAGTGACGCAGCAGAGGGAAGTTGGCACGATTTGTAATCCCTAGGGTATCGATGTCGGAGAAGGGGATCACTCAATGCTGCTACAGGCACTCATGAGTTCGGATTGGATAGCGTGAAGGAGATAATAGAAGGAACCGCCGAAAGTAGTTCAGTTTTACCAGGTCTTCCTGAGTACAAATCTCCTCATCCAATAGCATTCTTAGTTAGTACCATTCTTATAAGCCTGTTTTTGATGAGTGAAGCGGCTAGGCTACATGCTTAGCCTAGTATTCCCGGATTAGTATTCAAACTAAATTGTCCGAGAAGATCTTATTCTTAGGACTTAAAATCATTCCCCTGCTGTAGCCCTTTCAAACTAACCCTATCCCGTCGCTTTCTCATATGAGATAAAAGCACTCTCTCATTATTGCTAATTAAGTGGCTCTCTCACTTGACGAAGCGCGCAAGCAATTTATCTTATCTTTCTAGTAGGGCTAGGAGTTACTGAACAGCCACCCTAACCTGGTCGGTGTGTGGGAATGACTTAAGGCTAAAGAAAATTTTCTTGAGCTCTACGGATGACTAACAAGGCAGGATCCAAGCGGGTGACTGCCGAGCAGCAGCACTGCTCGCCATGGCATAGCCGTATGATTTCGTCACAAATTGTATTGTCTGTCTGGACTGTCTAATCTCGACTTGTAATGGCATCAGGGCTAAAGCACATACATATGGAGAGGTGCAAGGATGTGCACTAGATTCTGATTTACTTACCAAAATCTACCAGCGGTCTTTTCGGTATGGTACGAATGAAGATTTTTCAACCCGTATGGCCGAGCTTCCTGTAATACCATCAAATTTTTTAGTCTCACTCCTATAAACATATGCATATGGATCTGTCTCTACGACCTTAGCCTTCAAAGCTTTCCGGTTCTATTCCTTTTTTGAATAAAGGCTTGTTATAGACGAATAAGCTCCTTAGACTTTGCCCTAAAAGCTCATCCTAAGGAAAGTCGTTTTCACTCGGGACTTCTTTCTATGCTAGCATGCTTCTACTTCTATTCTTGATCTGGATTCTTAAACCTTTATTCTAAGATAAGATGCCAGTCTAGAAATCCGTACTTGTTGACTAAAAGACTTTCGGCGGATTTAGAATCAATTAATCCCATCCGTCTATTAGTTCAAGCGTATTCTCTAACAGCGGATTCTTGCTAACAGAAAGAGAACCGCCTATTCTATAAAGCAGTCAATTCAATAACAGACGATTTGCTGCAAAGAGACGATTCGGTGCGCATTTCATGCTACTCCACGGTGGCTAGCTTTCCTGCTTCTGTGCTTGCTATTAATTCCTAGATGCGCGTAATCTTCTTCTGAGGAGATATCTTTTCTTTATGTGTTAGAATACGAAAAAAGTTTAATTCTACTTAAGAAGAAGTCTTATTTTAAAAAAGACACAAACCCTTATTTGTTAAATGAATGAATGAATTATCAAACACTTAATTGAATAAGTTCAGGGCTAACAGTCTGAATAAAGCCAATAGTCGCCCCTGATTCGGATGTTACGATAAATCTGTCCTATGATTCTGATGCCGCAGAAGAGAAGGGAAACCCTGACCGAAGGTAGCACATAAGACGATGTGTAAAGCGTATAGCCAGCCGATGTAATCGAATCCTTCTTATCCTAAGGGAAGGGGCTTACTCATATATATAATATATAATATAAAAAAAAAGTTTGCACTTAATCTATTAAGGCCAATCTTCTGATCTTCAACTATTCTCACCCCTCGGAGTCTAAAAAAAAAAATGTGTATCTTGCTATTGGTATCAATCGGTCCTATCTTTCCTTTTGGTGGCGCATGCTTAGATTACCCTTATTCTTCATCTTCTCTACCCTTCGGTTGCTTAGGGCGCCCAGAGGGATTCGCCTCTAGGAGAATAGTTATTGATCACATAGCTTGGGTACTAGAAGTTGCTGATCGTATCATTCGGGCAGAGCCTGGGTCCCTTAGTATTATGTATAGCGCAGCTCCCTCTTTCTTTTTCTAGTTTTGTTCCGATCGATTAAGGAAACCCTTATCTTACTGGAGCGCGCGGATTCGTTTTCATATTTAACTGGGATCGGTCCTAAGGCGCGTGCTTCAATATTGTCTTGATTGGCAGTCGCTCTTCTGTATTTTTAATCTTCAGAGATACCCTCAGAGTTATGTCCTGAATGGGAAGGTTTTTGAGTCAAGTCAAGAAGAAGAAAAAGACAGTCCCACAAAGGAATCTTGGACAATGGGCACAAGTCTTTATTAAAGAATTAGTATCTCCATTATAATAAGCATTTCTATCAGCTCTGCTCTTTTGTCTCCTGAATATCATCTCGAGACCCAAACTACGAGATCCGGATTGGAACCAACGCATATTGATTCAAAGCTTATGGCCCTTCAATACAACCCCCCTCTGTATAAAACCTTAAGTGAGCGGTGCGAGTCTACAATCGCTTGGCTGACTCGCTAGCCCTTATGGAATAAATACTCAGCCGCTCTAGTACACATGCTAGTACACCGAAGCACAGAGTCGCTTGTCATCGAGAGATTGGACATCCCAGCCACAGCACAGAGAGCCCTTCCGTCGAACGGGACTCATTCATCTTCTTGGATGAAGACTATCGAGAGTTGGAACATGATGAACTATCACCAGTCAAGATTACGAGGACGATGGGAACCTTGGTATTATGATTTCTACAATTACCTCAAGGACGGGTTCATATCAGAGTACGCCACTCGTGGTCAGAGGAGAGCCTGGAGGAGAACTTGCCCGACGATTTGTGATCTTGGGAGATGTCCTTTATAAAAGGTCCTTCAAGGGGTACTCGCCCTTCCTTAGACTTAATAGGAAGAAGGAGCGCACATTGTTGAACAAGCTCATTCAAGAGGCAAGGCCCCCCTAAAAAAAGCGTACCTTCGAAGGCATGATTGTTGCGATCAGGAGCTGTTTAACATAATTTAGAACAGGAGATCATAAGATTTTGTGGAGGATAAAGTCCAAAGTGAACCAACACTGGGATCTGATCATAGCCGCTGTGAGGATGCAAAGGCGATAGTTTTTCGATTCGGCAAACATGAGATGTGTCCCACACTTTAAGAAGTACATCGAATTTTTTAGATATCCCGTAATGTCCTTTTTGTACCTAGATAAGGACGACCTCGAGAGAGCAGACGACCGGTAGAGTAGGTGCTCCATATCGTTCCTGCTGCGTAGGTCTAAGGTAATTAACAGTGCTAGCAGAGAATCAGTAGGCCCTCACCCTTCTCTAATAGGGGAAGTTCCACCTATAGAACGGGAATGTTCATCCTCTCTTAAAGTCCTTTAGGGATTTAGAGTCGGGAATAGAGCTGTGGCAAGCAATATAGATCGCCCCTTACGCTCTCTCTAAAAAAATCCCTTCTTAGTAAAGCTTCGGCCCTATGGAGAAAAGGGAAGTGCAGATCTGGAGTGTTTGGACGAGAAAGAAAGGCTTTGCAGCAAGCTGAGTTGTACCACAATTTGATTTTCCGGGCATACGAGAAAAGAGTCCATCCGAGCATATTTGTTTGCTAGTTTCTTGATCCCAGAAATCTTGTACTCAGAGTCACGGATAAAGTTGACTACCCAGCGACGGAGTGGATGACCCCCCGTTCTTTCTAGTGGGTTTTATCCCGTCCCTTTTGGGAACATTCACACTTTTCCAAGCATAGGTAGAACCCCTCTTTCCCATACACAACGACGGTTCCAAGCAAGATGAGTAGTTTATAGTCGACTCAATATCAACGAAACCCCCCCATTTTATCTTTTTAGTACCGATGGTCTTGTAGTGCACCCTTCATCGAAAGAGTAGGCGGTTGAAAGACCCACCTCTGAATAAACCTTTAGGTTGGGAGATATCAAAGGGGAACCTCGCCTAGCTTATCTGTCCCTGTATTATTCAACTCATTTGTCCACTTATCTTGTTCAAAGCAGAAGGAAGATTTTAATCCTTTCTTTCGAGGGTAATCCGCCAGTCTCTAGACTGGAAAAGGGCGGGGACAGATGAGCTATTTCGAACAGCACTCTACGAGAATTGTTGGAGAATTGGATGTAACTCTATAAACTCCTATATTATCTCCTATCGCAGAATACCTAGTTTGAACTCCTACTCGAAATCGAAAGAAGGGAAGGTTAGTGGCACTTCTTTTTCACGCTTGAACTACGGGACAGACTAGCGGAAAAAAAGTTACATCCATACGGGAATAACCCCTGTAAGTCAACCCAGTTGTCTTAGGCTCAAATCCGCACTTTCGGGAATAGAATGCTTCTTTGACAGAGCTTTAAGCAATTTGACAAAAAGGTTCTGCACGTGAATCAGACTGGCTTTATCTCAGGATGTGGGATTACCGATGTCACGATTGGAATTAGGAAAGGAAGCCTCTGTCCCAACTTTCTTTCTAGACTTGTAAAAAAGGAAATTCCCACGGCTTCCGCGGAGAGACTCGGCTTGTGAGCTCCTTCTCCAATGGAACCTACTGTGTATACTCTTGCTTCACTGGAAGACTCGCTCGCTCTGTTGGTGTAGGTCTTACCTTTCTTGATCCCTTGGTTAGGCTAGCTAATTCAATTGATCTGATACCAAGATAACCCTTCAGATACCGTCCAATGTGCTTGATCTCTAGTCTGATCTTCCATCACTTGACAATGGGGATGGGGGATAAGTAAGCCCCCGAGGAGATCATCACGCTACGTAAAGGGCTGTGAAAAGGAATCTCGCCTCTTCTTTCTGCCTTTCCCTTTCCTTTATGATTCTCTTTGTTTATTCTAACTTTTTACTTTTTGGCCTAGAATGTACGGTATCTGACTAGCATTTGCTGCGGCTGGTTTCCGTATTTGCGCTAAAGGTACTTGACCCCTCTTCATTCTTAGCTTCCATTCCAAAAACTTCACTCTTTCGGTCACCTTCCACAATGGGCTTTCAGTCCGCTATCTCCGCATTGCTTCTGTAAACTCCGGTATAGTTCCCCTCCCCTTTAGTTCCATCAGTGGGTTCCTCCATTCTCTTATCGGTATTATTAGAATGTGTTGACTAGTTTCGCCTTCACCCCACTCTTTAATATGTGGGAATCTCCTCATCATCTGACTCCCCTTTTGGTACCATTATCTTTTGTGGGGGGATCACTTTATGGTTATAGCGCCGTGCGATGGGGTGGGAGTGGACGGACCACCGTCCCCGCCTACAGTAGGCAACAATGCCCCAGCACCTGTCATTGATGCTCCTGAAGTTCCCCCCGCGGCCCCAGAGATTCCCGTATTAACCCACCCCTTATTACCAGATAGCGAACGATAAAGCGAACTATATAGGCGCTTCTTGGTTAATACTATAGGGGAAGAGCCCAGCCTACGGCGGATTTCTGACACAATTTGTGTTCAGAGTCTGATTGAAAGACGGGAGAAGCTGCTAACAAGAGGTTAGATGCACTTATCAATAGCAGTGGAGTCGCCCTTTGAAAGCGCTAATTCAATAGCAGTCTTCCGACTGAATAAATCTGAGTGTAGTGTGGTTAAGCGGTCAGAAGTTGTTCCGGATCCATTGCTACCATTAAAAGAATGGGGAGGATTACTTTAATCTAGCTAGGGTACCGGGCAATAACAGTGAGAGGAAAGCGCTACGAGGACCCTCTTTAAGAGAGATAGAAAGCTAAGCCTTAGATTCGGGAATAGGAAACTAGCAGTAAGGGTATTACGCTTCAAGAGAAGTGGAACTCACTCGAATAGAGAGAGTCTAGGCTCACTCACTGGTCAAGGGCTAGTATAGCAAAGAGGCTTTCAATTCCCGCAAAGCAAGTGGGAATTTCCGTGAGCATTAAACTCCTGTATGGTCTTTACCGCTTGGGAACCTAAAAGATGCTCTATGGCTCGCTGGAGTTAAATCAAGCTATTGATCATATTAAGCCTTCTTCGGCTGATGAAAGTACTAACTTCCCTTGAGACTGAGATTTAAGTTTTCAGTTTAATTGTCATATATTCTTCCCCTGAATTGAAAGGCATTCTGTATCTTTATGAAGTTAACTAAATCGATTAGGTCATACTACTGGTCGGGTACTTAAACTTAAGATAAGAATCGGCTTTGTCGCTTCTAGCTTGCCTACCCGCAAACCCTGCCCTTAGGACTAGGTTGGAAACTCCCAAGAGGATGGGGCTTGCTCACTCGCTTTCAAGACGGAAGAATGAAAGTTTTTTCCTCCGGTGATATTTTAGCTCTACTGCATCCGAGACTTTATTTCATTAGAGAGCTAGCGGCTCCTGTGGAGGTTGGTAGTTCCCCATCTATCAGCCATAGATCTGGCTGTTTTCCTCCCACACCCTTATCGGGATTAAGGAAAGCCGGTTTCCATCCTTTGTCAGGACCCGAAAACCTAGTTACCAACCTCTCTTGCATTTTACTTTTTTGGAGTCGTTTTCTATACTATATTTTTTTCAATGTTATAAATCATTAGCATCAGCTATGAGTGCATCTGCTAGGTTCCCATTCCTGATCAACAACTTGAGAGATTAAGTTCATCTGCAGACCAGTAACAGCCCCTACCTGTTAGCAACTATGGAGCTAATGAACCTTTGCCTTTCTTTCTTATCTTTCTATCCCTGCCTGTATCCTATCCTTAGAGCTCCCCTTTGCGTTGATTATAGGCCTTTTCTTTGCCCTTTGGGAGAGGTAAGGTATAGAGCTTGAATCCCCCAGCTGACATCTTATTCTCCATTGGGCATCCATCCTCATGGCATCTACTTCTTTAAATAAAAGAGAAAAAGCTTTTGCCGCTCTTTCCTTGGCTTTCTTTCGCGTACGTGTGCTCGTCTATCCTTTAATAGAAAGAAGAAATTTCTCTGTTCGAAATCAAGCTACAGGCCATCAAAGATGGCGGTAGAACAGCTAGCAAGAGGTGCCCAGGTACCGTTAACAAGCTCATGAATTTAACTTTCAAGTGAACCCCTTGCCTTATGGTTTGAGAGTCCGTTTGATTATAAGCCTTTAGAATGGTTATATATACTTTAGAAAAAGGCTATCTCTCTCTAGCTTTCCTTTCTTGCTTGCTTGCTTTCTAGCCCCGATGCCAATGCCCTTTCTGTTCTCGAGTCTTTGCAATCTTCTGCCATTCCTCGACTTTGAAATGGTTAGACCACTGTCTTCGAGTCCGGTTGAGAAATAGCGGATTTGAGTACCGGGAAGTAAGTATGAGTAAGGTCCAGGTCTGGTTGAGTAACTCAGGATAGAGAGAGTCCTTCATTTCTAAAGTATGAATAAATAGTAGACATGTAGCTGCCTTTTAGGTATTGAATCCCTGGCCGGGAAGCGTGAACGATAACATGAGTCTTTAAGTACAGAGTGACCCCGTGGGTTGTCCATTCTTTCAGGTATTCACTAAAAAATCATTGAATTGAATAAGGCTATTCGACTTAGGACTCCCTTACTAAGCTTTCAGGAAAGTATGAGATCTCATTGTCTTCCTAAAGCCTTTTTAATCCTAAATGAACAGATATAAGATAGATGTAGAGACTCATCCTTGATTCCTATCG